GTCCCTACTATGTATCATAAAGCAGGTACTAGATATTTTACATTCATAGAGGTATGATACAGTACTGTCCTACATCAATAATACTAGATTCAGTTTTGGTTTGAAATTTACTTTGTCTGCAAATAAGATTGCTACCCCTGTTTTTTTCTGGGCTCCTGTCACATGGAGAATTGTTTTCTATCTTTTCACTTTCAGTCTATGGGCTTCTTTTTGCACTAGGTGTGTTTCTTGTATACAACACATTATTGGATTTTGCTTCTTATTCCATTTTGCCAGTCTATTTCTCTTGATTGGTGAGTTGAGGCCATTGACTTTGCTGGTTATAATTGATATGTACTGACTTATTATTGACATGGTATTGGCCTTTTGTTGACTCTTTTTACTTTAAAGAAAGGGCGTGGGAAACCTGTAATAGAATGTTGCAGAGTTCAACCATTCAGAAGTACGGGGAACTCAATCTGGGCCTTGCAGCCAGAGGTCAGTCAGCATCATGGGGTTCAGCAATCAGCTAACTGAGATCAGGGGTCTTGCATCCTCACTCTGTCTGAGCCATTAAATGGTAAATATACTATATTGAAAAGTTTGTTCACTGCAGACATGTTCTGGACTGCTTCTTGATTTCAATTTAATTCAAATGATCTAAGGGTGATAGACTAGTGACTACCACAGGTGGTCAGTGCTCAAGTTGTGCTTGATCTTAATGTATTGCTGATTGTATCAGTTGGGGTAAAGCATTGCCTTTGATTTGATGAGCTGTTTTCTCTGATGTTATGAAGATGAGAATGTCTGTGGGTCATTAGAGACACAGAAGCTAGGGTGCAACTATATCAGGAAGATTTGGGTGATAATCCAGAGATTAAACCAAGGACAGTCCGACAACAAAAATTAAAATGAGAAAACACTTAAGCAAGACACAAGGACAGACTTCCAGTTCACCAATGGCAAACAGTAGGGCAAATGAGGATGAAAAGGCCGATAGTGAACCACCAGGACACCCTGAACTCAAAGCACAGGAAGTAACAAAACAGATCAATCAGGCTCTAGAAAAATTCAAAACAGAAATAATTTCCCAGATAACCATAGAGATAGTGAGCAAAATGGAAGTCGTGATTCGAGACTCTAGAGCAGAAACTGACAAAAAAATAGATGAGCTCAGGACCATGATAGAAGCCATGAAGGCCCAGCATAAGAAAGAAATGGAAAAAATAAACGCCCAACATAGGAAAGAAATGGAATCCATAAAACAGATTCAAACAGATATCCAGGAGATTAAACACTCTATTGAAAGTGTACGCAACAGAATAAAAGAATGCGAAGATAGACTCTCAGATATAGAAGATAAGATTGCAGTCAGTGACCATGAAAAGAGAGGTCTCTTAAAAACAGTAAGGGATCATGAGAAATCAATCCAACAACTCCTAGATGATGCAAAGAAGAATAACATAAGACTGATAGGAATCCATGAAGTAGCAGGAGAAAATACAAATGACTTAAAAAAGCTGTTTGCAGAATTAATGACAGAAAACTTCCCAAACAGAGGGGAAGAATTTGACATTCAGATAACTGAGGCATATAGGACCCCAACTAGCTACAATCAAAAAAAATCTACACCTAGACATATAATAATCAAGATCCCAGAAACCCAACAGAAGAACAAAATACTACAAGCAGTAAGAGAAAAGAAACAAATCACATACAAAGGAAAGCCCATCAGAATCACAGCAGACTTTTCAACACAAACCCTTGGGGCAAGGAGAGCCTGGAATGAGATATTTCAAGTACTAAAAGAGAACAACCTCCAACCTAGACTGATGTATCCAGCAAAACTCTCTTTCAAAATGGAGGGGGAAATAAGACACTTCCACGACAAAGAACACCTGAGAAACTACATGAATACCAAACCAGCACTACAAGCAATTCTGAACAAGATCCTAGAAAAAGACAATGAAGACAACAACACCATGAGGCCCAACAGAGCAAATCAAATAGGCAAGGCAAAAAATTAAAAGGAGAAGGTGAAAAAGTAAAAAGAGTCAACAAAAGTCCAGTGTGTGTTTGATGAGCAGCTATTATTAACATATTAATAGTGAATATCTTATTTTTAATATGTATTAGACTATACATGCATTTGAATATATATAATGTGTGTGTGTATATATACACACACACACATATTTTTATCTCTTTCTCTCTACATATATAAAAATCCCCTCTCTCTATAAATAATTCCAAAGCCTCACTAGTCCTACAATATTATCGGTAACAGTATTTATTTTAGATATAAGGAAGTTGTTCAAGGTTTTACCTTTGGATTTCCTACTTCATGTTCCTCTCTCCATTCTGTACCAGGTCCAGGCTCACTGGGCTCCGCAGGAACTGGTGACCCAGTCTCCACCTACACATACCACTGTCTGCTTATTACCAAGGCCCCCTGAGCATCCAGCACAGTGGTCTCTGGGTCACACTGTAGTTGTGCACAGCAGGGTCTTCGGGAGAGGTCAGGGCTAAAAGCAGTGCTATGTGCCAGTTATGGGTTGGACACAGGATGCTTCATCCTCAAGACTGTGCTTTCTCCTGTCTGAGCTGGGATAAAACCTTCCTGGAGCCTTTTGATAAAGCAGAAAGATCTCTGTTTTCTCTTTCTCTCCCATCGTGTGATGATGCTCATTGAAGGCAGCTGATATTATTCACACTCTTTGCTTCTGAGGCTTCATAACTGAGTCACACAAGTGGCTTCTATATCTGCTTCTGAATCACATGTGGAACCTGTCTTTCCTCCTTTTCAAATGCAGCAGCCTTCATGAGGAGCTAAGCTCACACCACTCCCCACATGTATAAAAGACCTCTCTGTCTCTAAAGGAAAACTCTGCCCATACAGATGATACTGCAATGCCAGCCTTGCCAAGCTGTTGACCTCTTCTCAACTTGCTTCACAGGTATTTGTAGAAATGCCCCCAGGAAAGAGAAGGACAGCACGGCCAGTTGTGGCACCTTCTCTAAAGACATCCTGAGTGGCAGGCACCAGGGACGTTTGTCATCACACCCACAAGACCAGGACAGAGACCCTGAGGAGCGGGAAATGGCCCAGGCAGAAAGCCCCATGTTTTGGCAGAGTCCTCAGGGCTCACCTCTGCCAGTGAAGGTGACTATCTTTTGGTCCACTTCTTAGAATTTAGAATCCTTTCCCCAAGTCCTGTGCTCTCCATGTGCCACTTCATTATATCCTCAGTGTCTCATTTATACAATGGACATAGGTGCCTGCCCTGCAAGGTTGTTGGGGGAAAGGGCTCTTGGCAGTGCCTAGGCCTCTGGCCTCAGGGTTGGGCCCCAGCATCCTTCATCACCAGTTAGAACTGTTACAGAGACAACATGAGGAAGTTGATGGCAGCCTGGGCAGGGTACAGGCAATCAGGCATCCCATGATCTTGGCCTCCAACTGTCCCTAAGCTGGCACTCAGAGGTTCTGCTCTTGACCAGGACCTTGGGGAGGGAGAAGATTCAGCCATGCCCTGGCATACCGAACACTGCACTTCAGGTCCAGCTCCCCTCCACCCACACAATCTCCTCAGAGTCCTCAGTGGCCCACAGACCACTTCAGCCCCTTATATTTGTTTTGGGTCCCTTGTCACTGATACTCATGGAAGTGTCACTTATTTTCATGTGGTTATGGGCTAATTGGTTAGAGATTTCTTTGTTAAAAATATCCACCCTATTCTAGGCCAGCCTCTCTCATTGCTACCCTCTCCCCAGCAATTTGCATAGCACCTATGTCTTAGTCCATTTTGTACTACTATAACAGAAGGCCATAGACTGGGTAAATGGCCAACAATAGAAATATATGTGGCTCATGTTTATGGGAAGTCCAGGATGGAGGGGATGCATCAGGTAAAGGCCTTCTTGCTGATGATGGATGGTATCACATGGTGATAGAGAAAGAGGCAGAGAGATAAAAAAGAAGAGGAAAAGAGGAACAGATGAATTCTCCTTTTACATACAACTACCCCACTCCCAAAATAATCCATCATGCAGATTGTGCTTTTGTGACCTACTCATCCCTTAAGGTCTCTTGTGATAATATTAACTCTCACAATTGGCATTCAATTGCAATATGAGTTTGGGAGGGGACATTCAAACCATAGTAACCTGGCACATGATAGGCATCCTGCATGACAGGATGGATGGACGAACAAGTCTTATATGGCTACTGCCACAATACCCAGCAAAACGGTACATGGTATGACCATCATTCTCTACCCTAAAGCAAGTAACTATTGTATGGTAAAGATCCAACTAGGAAGAGTGGAAAGCCCTCTGAAGTCAGTTTCTGCCTCAGTTGGCTGCTGTGTCTCTGATGTCTAGCATACCCATACTTGGCTGGCACTGTTTATGAGGTTCCCAGGAAGTACCTGGAGAGCTTCTATTCTAACAACATGAGTGCAAATAACAGGGACCTGCATTTATTGAGCCATTGCTATTCTTTGGGCACAACTGTAGGCACACAAGAAGAAGGGAATCTACCCTCTAGCTCTTTGGATTGGGAAGTGGACACTGGCGAATCTGAGAGACTTGGTCAAGATCATATAGGGAGGAGACTCCCTGTTGGCCAGCCCAGAAGCTCATGTTATTTCTAGATGCAGTGTTGCCTGTTGCTGGGAGCAGGTGAGACTCAGAGGAATCATCCATGCAGACAGGGTAGGCACCTCATGCTTCTTTTCTGTTCATTGTTTGAGGCAGGGTGCTGCTGGTTCTTCTTCCCTTCTATCACCTCTGGAAACCAATGCAGGTGAAATCTACTTTGTGAAGCTTGTTAAAGAAGATGGAACACTTGGATTCAGTGTGACTGTAAGCATTGTTGGTGGGGCCTAGAAAAGTTAAAGAGCTGTTCATCTGGAGCCATATCAGGGTGGGCTTTCCACCCTGATAGCATCTGCATTGTGTACAAGTGACACCTGGAAAGTGGGTGAGCCAAGAAAGTCCATAGGAGCCACTTGTGGGGAACAGGAGTTCAAAGACGGACCAGCAAACACAGGGCAACTTGAGGTTGAGACAGGGACAGATGCTCAGAGTGCCTACCACAGGAGGAGGCAGTGTGGGTGAAATTGGCAGATATGTCCTGACTCTGAGGTTCAGATGGACAGTGATAAGATAGGGCTTCAGGGAAACAAGCCAAAGTCAAGTAGGGTAGTCCATGGTCACCCCAAGAGGGTCACAGTGGAGCCTTGTACTTGGTTCTCCAAAATCAAGGACAGAGTTCAGTGTGTAAGACCTCAGCCCAGATTTACACTTTGCATTTGGCTTCTGAGTTTTGCCTGGTAGACCCCTAAAGAGGGAAGTTACCCGTGTAACTGAGATCACCCAAAGGTTTGGAGAATGGAGCACTGGAAGGTCGTGAGAACTCAGAGCTACAAGTTGGAGGGTGCTGTTCTTATTCCTGAGCACTGAAACCTGTTATCTTGAGACTCTGGAAAATTTGTAGATTTCAGGAATGTCATTGTTGCATTTAGTTTTTGATTGGAAAGAGAATGGAATTTTCAAGCAGATAAAGAAATGGCATAGCCATTAGAAGTGCAGACTTCTAGAGGAAACCCAAGTTGGTGGGCATGCATTGCTTTCCTCCTTGATAATTCTGTGCATCTAGAAAGAGCAAGGATCCTGGGCTGCTGCCTGCCATTAGCTTGTCAGTAAGTGATATTAAAAGAACAAGTAGGACCCCAAGAAATAAGGCTCGCAAGTCCACAGAGAGCGAGCAGGCTGGTACCAAGGATGATGGGTCAATCTGTTCTTGGCTTGAGGTAACAATTCTAACAGACACCAAGTGCAGCTGTTTCTTATCTGAAACACTTGCTAAATTTTAGACTATTCATATATGTATACATATATGCATATGCTAAAAAGCTGGTGATTTCCCTTGGCTGGCAAAAAAATCTTAGATTTTCTTTGGAGAAATTTAATTTCAGAAATAATTATGGAATGTCTTGTCCAAATCCGAATGGCTATCAAGCAAATGAAAAACACTCAAACACGTGAATATGGGAATAAAAAGTGAATTAAAATGAAATTTTATAACTGTCAGCTTGGCCAAATACAGCTGATGGGATGCAGAAAAAAAAAGGACTGTCATACAAATCTGTTAGAAATGTGAATAATTATGTGCACATTCACATTGGTCTACAATCTGGCAGCATCTATTATAATGAAAATATGCATATCCTTGGGCACATAAAAATAGAAACAAGATTCCCAGTGAGTAAAGCTGTACATGTAAGATGTTTAATGAAGTGTTGCTTAGAGTGACAAAAACTCTGGGGAAAAATGAAGAGGACCAATTGAGGAAAGACTGCATGTGCTGTGCACGTTATACATAGACACCAAACTGCTGTCATTAAAATGAGTGGGCATTCACTCCAGTCACATGGAAAGATTTCTGTGAGGCACCCACCAAGCAAGCAAGAGAGAATTGCAGAACTGTGGCTAGGAGACCTCTTTCTGTGCAACAGGTAACTCCAGTGAGTGTGTATACATTTGTGTGCTTGTTAGTGAAAAACAAAGCCAACTAGTGGTCGGAAATGAAGATGAAGCTACTGTGTGACTGGGAAGGGAGAACTGTATCTCCCTCCTGAAAGGTCTTCCTAAACAGGAGCTGCAGGAGCTAGACAGAAAGAGGGCAGAAAAGGCAGCAGTCCACTAACATGGTGAGACCAGGAGCTTATGTGTGCAGCTGCTCAGGAGGGCTGTTGAAGCCCTTGAGTGATGATTGGTTGCCTTGAGGTTTTACATTAGCAATGCTGAAAGTCTAGTTCCAAAGGAGTCTTGGATTCATTAGATAACATTTTATCAGGACTCAGAATCTGCTTTAGTTAGTTTCCTGTTGCCATAACAAGTACCTGAGATAATCAACTTGCAAAGAGAAAAGGTTAATTATGTCTCAGAGTTTTGGAACTTTCAACCCATGATTGGTTGGCTCTGTTCTTTTTTTTTTTTTGGTTTGTTTTTTTTGTTTTTTGTTTTTTGTAGGGGGCAAGGAAGCACATTAGAAGTGAGTGAGACAGAAGAGGAGGTGGGCTCCCACAATTCCCTTTGAGGGCACATCTGTAAAGATTTAAAGATTGCCCACATCCAAAAGTTTCACCACCTCCCCAGATCACTCATGCTAGGGATCAAGTCATACCATGTGGACTTTTGGGGAACATTTCACACCCAAACTATGGCAAGGTTGTTCAGGTGCCTGGTGTGTGTCCATTGGGAAGCTTAGCCAGACTTTTATTTAACCTTTTCATGATTATGTGACTACAGAGAAAAGTTAAAAGAAAAAAAACCCTATGTGTTATGCACATACACTAACTCCTCACAATTAATAAAATGTTTATGGACTGCAAACATGTGCTAATAAAAAGAAGAGTATATATAGATACTAGGTGCCCAGTTATTATCATTTATTAATATGTTATCCCCTATCGTGGGAATGGAAGGTGGAGGCAGAAAATGAGTCAAGAGAAACACATTCAAAAACTGTGCAAGAAGGCTAGAATACAATTGATAAAACATCTATCTGTATATCTACATACGAAGAGTAAATTAGAAGGAAAAAAGAGAGTTTGCTCTGTGGGGCGTTCATGATCTTTTGATCAGTTAAAAAAGGTTAAGTTGCAAAATTGCTGTGTAGTTTAATTCTGCTTTTGTAGCCAACAAGCCCATGTGCACACGAGATGTGCCAGGCATAGCCCTTAGGCCCACTGCAAATCCATCTCCATTAGTTGCTACCTGAAGAAATGTGGTACGTTCTGTGAAACTCCACTCACCAAACTCTTGCTGTGTGCCAGTGCTTGGCTGGGGTTCCTGTGGCCTGTGTTGTTATGCTCTGTGCAAATAGATAATTTTATTGCTCAGTGGTGAATGCAGTCTACGCAGGTAAGTACAGAGGACAGTGCTAGATGGAGATGGGTAGAGGGAGAGATGGGGGCTAGAGGGACTCTAGGAAGCCTGGTGTGATGAGAGGTGAGCTTTTCCTTGTGTCTTTCAGGGTGGCATCAACACAAGTGTGCTCCATGGAGGAATCTATGTGAAATCCATCATTCCTGGAGGCCCAGCTGCCAAAGAAGGGCAGATCCTGCAGGGTGAGAGACAGAGTTGTGCCAGGAGCTCTGTGTTCTGGGCAGAAGGCCCCTTGGCCTGGGCTGGGAGCCTTGGGCCCACCTCATTTGCTCTGGGATGCCCTGCAAACCATTGCTTCTCCAGGGCCTGCTTCAATTTCCTGGAAGGGGAGCATTTCACCTACCTCTTCCCACCTGATATGTAGGCAGGGGTCTAAGATTTTGAGTGGAAAATTGGGAAGCATAAATAAAATGATATAAAGTAGGAGATTTATAGAAGAGTTATTGTTGGCCTTCATGGGAGAGAATTCTGCCTTCCTGAGGGACAGAGCTGGCACTGGTTTCCCCCACTCTTCAGCCACTTTACTATCTGAGTGGACACAGTAACATTTTCTTTGCCCTGTCTCATGTCTATTGCAATGAAGGAAAGGACTGATTTTTATTGTTTTTCCAAATTTTCCAGAATCAAGCCAAAAAAGGCACCTTGGGTCTCATTATCTAGTCTGTCTTATCTCCACTTCCCCTTGAATTCTAGTGTTTCCAACATCAACCATGCCTCCCTGACCATTTTTGAAATAAAAAAAAAAAAATACTAGTGGTATAAATAGTACCCTTGAGTGACTTAAAAATACTTTCAAAAATGGTTTCACAGGAAAACAGGAGGAAGGGTAAGCTTGAACAGAGCTGGCTTCATCGTGTGAGCCAAGAATAGACAGATCTTCCTGTGGCAGACCTGTTAGGTGCCTGGGATGGAGGGGTGGAGAGTTCAGAGAGCAGGATGTTTAGCACACGTATGGGATCTAGCAGACCCACAAGGACACCAGGTAGCTCCATGTCCTGAGCTCCTGAAGGTGCAGGTGCAGGCAGTGGCGTTGTGGGAGTCCTTCCCACAGCTGCAGGGGCACTGCACATGGCTTGCCTCCTCCCCCAGGTGACTGGCTCCTGCAAGTGGATGGAGTGAGTCTGTGTGGTCTCACCCACAAGCAGGCTGTGCAGTGCCTCAAGGGTCCTGGGCAGGTGAGTGCACCCATCCCCGGGTCTCTTCCCTTTCTCTGGAGCTTTCTTGGACAGCAGCAGGGGCTGCAGTTGCCTCTGGGTTGGGAAGAGGCAGCCAGCAAGCCAAATATGACTTTCTTTGTCTATTTTTGCCACTTAGCAGCACTTTTCTGTGGGACTGTGAAAACCAAGAGACAGCAGACTGATGTTTCCAAGCAGAAAAGCTCTCCTATAAACAATCTTGGAGAGATCATGGTCCTTGGCTAGACTTAGGAATTGAACAGTAGAATAGAGCTGCGCAAGCACAGTGGTTTTTCTGTCTAGGTTCCCTCAGTGTCCCCTCCATAACTGTGCCACCCCGTTGAGCAGTGTGCCCTGGCTTGCAGGCACTCTCTCCCTCCACCTTTGCCCATGATACCCCGCCCCAGTTCCTGCCATTCCATCACCTTGGCTGCCCTAGGAGGCTCTTTGCCACCACTGGGTAGCATGAGCTGAGGCCATCCATCCAACATGTGCTCCTCATTCCATGTCCAGGCGGTGTCTCCAGGTAATCAGCTACGTTCTGTTCTCTGCTTGGGGGTGACCACTTTTAACTGCATCCATGTAGGGCTGGCACACCCTCTCCAGGTGCCTCAGGAGTCCATAGAGACAGGATTCCTGAAGCCCTCCCAGCAAGCTGCAGGACACAGCTGTGCTGTCATTACTTCTCTTCCCAAAGGAGGCTTCTGTTCATGGTCAAATCCTCTTGTCTTGGTGTTGGCTGACATATCTCCGGGTCAGTCGTTATTCATTACCACCTTTTAGTCTTCAGACCTCTGCTCACAAACATGATTAGAAAGGCTACCTGGCCACTCTATTGACATGACAACAGCTGGGAATTGTCACTGTGGGGGGGTGGCCCTGTAGGGTTGAATGATGCTTGCCACAGAAGGGGAGGCCAGCTGGCTGCATTTCTAGGTTGGAAGCTTGGCTTTTCAAACCAGCTTCCAGATGAGGTCTGGCCCTGGTTCCTGACCCATTTTAGGTAACAAGGGAATAGAGTGTTGTGGGGAAGAAGGATGGGAAGTCAAATCAGACAGAAAGGGGGGGCACAGATTGGCAAAGTTCTGGGATGCCATCCAATGGATTTGGGTTTTAGGTGATGGGAGACATTAGAGGCTTTTAACCAAGAGTGTTCCATGTTCAGCAGCAGCCATATTGATTGGACCAAAGGAAATGAAGGCAGGGTCTGGCAAGCCAGGCCACCAGGAGCTTGCTGGAGACCAACTGGATACTGGCAGTGGTGAGGGAATGGAGGAAGGGTAGGAGGAGCTGTTCCTAGTGGGGAGCTCAGGAGCCTTAAATCAGAAGGGAACTTGGAGTGCACAAAGGGGAAGGCTGGACCCCTCCATGTGTGGCTCCAAGGATTTGATGGGGTAAATAGTGCATGTTTCAAGGGCACAGATGCAAAGGGAAGACTGAGGTAGATTGAGGAAAGGGAAGAGGCTGAGTTTGGCACTGAGTTTGCACCCTGGAGGGATAGGTGTGACTTCCAGGTGCTTTTGTCCAGGTGGCAGGTGGCAATGCAGTCCTGAACCCAAAAGGCTTGACTGGAGATTTCGATTTCACATTCAAATGAAGCACCTCATCAGAAGCATTAAAAAAAGGAAGAAGCCTTTGCAGAGGGGAAAGGTGCCCCGTTGTCATCCAGAGTGCAAATTGAATGTGTCCACCTATCCTTCCAGGTTTCAAGGCTGGTGTTGGAGGGAAGAGGCCCTAGCATGGCACAGCAGGGTCCTTCTGCTAATGACAGGATGGGAGATGAACACGCTGTGGTTACCTTGGTAACAGCCCTGCCTGGCAGGCCCGTGAGCTGTGTCTCAGTGACAGATGGTGAGAGGGGAAAGAATGGAGTGTTACTATCGTTGTGTCATCATATGTTGCTTTTGTGTTGTCAAGTCAAAGGGGAAAGGCAGGAAGGCTTCCTCTGGCTCTAAAAAAAAAAAAAAAAAAAAAAAAAAAGAGCAAGCAGTGCTGATTATGATCATAAGCCAAGAGAATGGTATACGTTTCTGAAGCAGATGTATTGTCCCAAAATGATTACCAGGTATAATTCTGCCCCAAGCCTTCCTAAGCCTTCTGATCAGCTGCCTGAGTGTTAGTAGTTGAAAAGTATTTAGGGGTGAATTGTCATGAAAGGGTCATGAAAGGCCTGAGATTGGCATGAAAGGGTTATACATTTTCAGGTACACGCTCCCACTGAGGCATCTGTGATAGTTACCTGAGCACTGATTATGCAGGTTGGAAGACAAAGGTGTTCAGAAACTTAGCCTTGTTATTAGCATCATGCTCATAACACATGCTCAGTTTTGGAGCCTAATTGCAGTAATTGCACATCTTCTAAGGGATCAGATGCTTGCACATCTCTCGTGATTTGGTTTTCTGCTAGGAAAAGGTTTATTTCCTTGGCATGTTGTGATTTGGAACCTAGCCCCACGCCAAACCCTTTCTCCGTGGTCCTGCTACCCAGGCACGGGGCAGGTCAGAGGCAAGGCAGCCGTAGGCTTGGGAGTGGTGTGGAGGAGGGGAACACTCATCCTTAAATCGAAGCCATTTCCTCTTTCATCTCTGCTCTGTGTTCTCCCATGGGTGCCTTTGAAAAGCTGACTACAAACTGAGTCAAGGAGGCTAGGGCGGCAGTGGCACAATCAGCTGTGCCACCACTGCCACAGTCTTGCTCCAATTGAAATTTAAGAGTTGTGGTTCCATCCCCAAATTCACAGTTGCCATCAAAGTTGGAGAAGGAAAACTTGAGGGAGTCCAGAAGCTTCTTGGGCTGCCAGACTCCCTAGGTGCCCAGGGTTATGCGCATCTTAGATAGTAAACCAAAATGGCAGCTGTCCCTAGAGTCAGCCATCACTGTCCCTGCAGCCTAATTAGGCAAAATGTCCTGCTGAGCATTGTAAAGTGTGATTAGGGCTCTACAAGAACAAGGCAAGTATGGTGAAAGTTTTATTTAATGCTAAGAACACGCTGTGCATGCCCACAAGCTAGCTTTCTCTGTACATCAGGTGGACATCATCTATAATTGCACTGTGCAACATGGTGGCGATTTCGTGTGTGGCTGTTGCACATTGAACTGTAGTGATCCAATTGGATAAGATGCATAACAGGGTTTGAAGGATTAGTTTATTGAAAGAGTGAAAATTATTAGTAATTTTTGTATTGATTATATGTTGAAATGGGAATATTTCAGACATACAGATGGTCCCTAACTTTTAATGGTTTGACCTACAGTATTTTTTGGCTTTATCATGGTGCAAAGTCCACACACATTCAGTAGAAGCTGGGCTCTGAACTTTTTTTTAGTGATTTAAATAAAGTTTATTTTTTTGAAAAGATGGTTATCTTTGCAATCCCACAGTTGTTGGGAATGTGAAGAGGCAACATATTTCCTTTTATTTACTCATGCCTTTTTAAAAATATACCCTCTGCACAAAGGTAAAAGATCTTGTTAACCTTGTAGTGATATAAAATGTATCAGCAAACTTTCTTCAAGAGCTAGATAGCAAGTATTTTAGGTTTTATAGGCCACTTATGATGTGTCAGTTTCTTTTTCTTTTTCTTTTTCCTGCAGTACTAGGGACTGAACCCAGGGCCTTTGCACTGAGCTACATCCCAGTCCTTTAAATTTTGAGACAGGGGCTCACTAAGTACTAAGTTGCCTAGGCTGGGCTCAAACATGAGATCCTCCCAGTTTCTTTTATAAGTTAAAACCATTTTTTTAAAAAAGTTAAAACCATTTTTTTTTAAAGTTAAAACCATTTTTAGTTTGTACCATACCAAAAAAAAAAAAAGAAAAGTGCCAGCCTGACTCCTGGGTGGCAGTCTGCTATGGGCTCCGAATTTTGAATCTTTATCTTTTCCCAGCTGGCCATATTTAGTATGATACACACTTGAGTCGCTGGGCAGTGCCAGTGAGCTGCAGCCCCCAGCCATCCCATGACAGGGTGGGAGGGCTGATTAATTCTCTATCAGCTAAGCTAGGATGCATGATAGGTTAGATAATCTAAGTGCACTTTCCATTTACAGTATTTCCAACGGACAAGGAGCTTACCAGGATGTAACCTATTGTAAATTGAGGGTTAAATAAAATGCATGATTAAGATTTATTTTCCTGTTTCCTTTTACTTTTTAAAAATGTGGCTATTTGAAAGCTTTGAAAAGATACTTGTGGTTTGTATTCGCAGTTCATCTTATACTTCTGTTGGGCAACACTGATGTGGATTTACAGGTGTAACAGACTCCACTATGAAAATGAGCTAATGATATCTTTCTAAGCAAAATAGAAATAATTTACCTCTGACAGTCTGTATGTGGAGGTCACTCAGTGGTCGTCTGCTGAAGGAGTTATTTTTATTCACACCCCACAATCCAGGTCCTAGGTTTGAAGTCAGGCTGCAAAAGAACACCAATGGCCTGGGGTTCAGCTTCGTGCAGGTGGAACAGGGCAGCTGCAGCCTCCTCCAGAGTGACCTCATTAGAATTAAGAGACTCTTTCCAGGGCAGCCAGCCCAAGAGCATGGGGCCATTGAGGCTGGTGACATCATTCTGGCGGTGAACGGAAGGCCCACAGAGGGCCTTGTTTTCCAGGTGCGGGGCCACAGGGACTGAAGCTCCAGCTGCAGGAGGCCCTCAGCTGCTTCCTTCAGCCTCACCCACCTCAGACAGTTGACATCCAGTCCTGGAGCTCAGACTTCTGTCCTGCAGACTGCAGTTGGCAGAGTGGTCCTGTATGTAACGGTCCATCAAGGAGACAGGCCTGAGACTTGGGACACTGTGGGGACTCATGGTTCTGGGAGCAGGTGTGAGAACTTCACTGGGGTCCCTTCTGCTCTCCTGCCTCTTGATCTGGCTGAATTTATATCTTCTGGTGCATAGTGTGACATTGATTGTCCTGCCCCAGAGAGGTTGTCAGCAGGACCTGGCATCTCCCTCCCTCTCTCCTACTCACTGCCCTGTTCCTCTGGCTGAGCCCAAGGAAACACCTGATGCAGCACCCCTGGGGACCCCAGGAGCTCAGAGCAGGACCGTGGCAGTGGGTGCCCAGAGACATAGGCTGCACCTTCCTCTGTCATGTTGCTGGATGGCAGCCCTGAGAGGCGCAAGGACACAGGCAGACAGCCCCTGGAGCCTCAGAGGTCAGGGTGGGCAAGGACACAACAGTGACTGCAGAAGTGGGAGCAGTCATGAGAGCCTGTGCTGACAAACTCATGCCATGGAGCAGGGAAGAGGTACATCAGTGCTGGCCCTGGTGGCTGCAGGGTGGCTGGATCAGCACTTCTCATGCAGGGATGCTACTGCCTCTTGGGGACACTAGGCTAAGTCCAGAGACAATGACAGACATTGTCACAACTGATGAGCACTATGACATCTTATGGGTAGAGACCAGAGATGCTGCTAACTGTTCTTCATTGTGCAGGACTTTGGTCCCAACAATTATCCAGCTAATGCAGGGAGTTGGGAAATGCTGGTCCAGGTAGGACATAGGAGCTACCAAGGAGGCATCTCATGCTAGGGAGTGAGAGGGAGCTTGCAGCAGCTTGAAGCAGTGGAGCTTAGGATCTGGGAAATGAAGGGCAGGTGGGCGAGACCAGCTGGGTGAAGCAGCAGCAGGTGAGAGCAAGTTCCAGACTGGCCTCCTGGAGGAAGAGGGAGAAGCCGGAAGAGAAGAGAGACTTGTGTGGGCTGGGGCAGCCACGGAGGAGGCAGCAGGAGAACGACCTGCCTATGTCACATTTTGGAAAGACCACCCTCAGGCACAGGGGAGGAGAGGGCTGACACTGCAGGGGCTGGGGGCACAGTAGGAGGTCACAGGGTCCCAGCTGAGCTGTGGCAGGAGACTCAGCCAGTGTGTCAGGAACCGGGGTGGTGGGGCCATTCCCTGCCCAGTCTCAGCACGTCCCCTGCATGGGGCCACAAGCTGTTGTCCTTGGCTTCCCTTTGGGAAGTTAGTGATCTGCAGAGCTGAGAAATGGATCACGGTTGGGGAGGAAGCAGCACCTGGAAGACAGTGGTGGGCAAGGTTGGGGGGGGGCTCCAGGTGCACCAGCCTAGATCTAATTGCAGCTCTGGGTTTCTCACAGGAGGTGCTCAATCTGCTGAGAGGGCCTCCCCAGGAAGCCGCACTGCTCCTTTGCCGACCGCCTCCAGGTGTGCTCCCTGAGATGGAGCCAGCGGGGAAGGTAAGAGATGGCGTCCCCATCTCTGAACCTGGCTCCTGTCCTGAGCCCTGTCCCTCTCTGTGGTCCCAGACACCCTGGCTGCCTGGAGGGAGGCTCAACATGGTGGGAAAGCAGCTGGCTCAGCCACAGGGAGTTTCTGTCCTCTTCTGCTTCTTTCTTCTTCCAGGGAGGTCAGTCTTTACTCTCCAGGCCTTCGACTGATTAGGTAAGGCCCACCACATCATTACTCTAAATCTACTTATTTAAATGTTAACCAGACCTAAACAGTATCTTCATGGAGACATATAGACTGGCATTTTAGCAAGAGTCAGGGTCCTCTGGCCTAGCAAAGTTGGCACATGGTATTACCCATTGCCATCACCCTGGGAAGTCTGTGGAAAACAAGATTTTTGGCAGAGACTCCAGTGCAGGAAATTTACAGGGCCTGCCCTGTGGAGGTCCCCTGTGATGGTGCTGGAAGCTAGCTGGGCAGAGGAAGGGCCAATACAGTACAGCTGCAGTGGAGCCTCACCTGACCCCATGGGGAGCTGTGGAGCTGGGACAGCCCCTTGGAGCATCCCAAATGGCACCCTGCTATGACTAGCATTGGGGTGCATGGGCCCAGGGCAAGAGCCTGAGTTTGGCTGAGGTAGCTCCTGGGGGGACCTAGTTGGGAGGCATCAACCCCATATGCATAGGAGAAGCTGGTTCTTGGTACCATGTAAGACTAACATGTGCACAGGCTGTCCTGCGAGGAAGAAGTCTGCACAGACAGAAGTCTTGGAGAACAGGGCTGGAAAATGTGGCTTTGGCATAATAATAATTATTGATACCACTACCACACAGTCTAGATCCAGCCCCTATAAAGGCATGAGGCTTTGGGGGCACATCTAGATACAAGCTGTAATATCTGGTTAATATTTTCAGGCTCTGATAAATGAAAGCATGGAAAGTGAAGCCCTGAATAAGGGGAAACTATTGCATTTTTTAAAAAGTGATCATGTTTATTGAGCACTTTCACTGCCCCTGAGCTACGGTGCATAGAGATAAGGCTTAGTGTGTTGTCTGGGGTCTGGGGAGCTGGTGGGGGAGCTGACAGAGAGAGTCTGACCTCAAATCTATCTCTTATTTGCTCTGACCTACAATCACATAAGAAAATAAGACCAGTTCATTTCTTAGAGAAGCAATCTTTAGCGTTTTCTTAGTGTGCAGTATGGAAGTAGTAACTATTATCTTTTCTTTTAATAGACACCCATGGACAAAGAATTTACCAAGGCAATGTATACAGACTCAGAGAAGAGCCCCAGCCTGGAACAGGAGGACAGCTGGAGAGACAGCACCTCTCCAGATGCAAGGGAAGGCCTGGCTCTCGGAGAGGCACAAGGGAGTCAAGACGGGGACAGACCCTGGGCCAGGTCCTTGGCACTTGCCCTGGAGTCCCATCCTCACTTATGGCATTGTCACCTAGAGACAGAGGAGCCAGCCCTGGCTACCCCTTTGGAACAGGACATGAGGCAGAACTGCTATTCTGTGTGTGACATCAGGAGACTTGGCAGGTAAGACTTGTTACATTGTAGACAGTTTGTAAATTGTGTGTACTGCATTGCTAGAGCATTACCACCAAGTAATCAGTGACAACACCAAGATGCTTCCTGTGCCCAGCACTGTTCTGGGCCTTTGGAGGCAGAAACAGAGGAACATAGGTTTGGGGTTGCTGTGTCCACAACTTGTGGGCTTTTGGGGAAGCAAACTCTACCCAGGCCATAATTGTCCACAAGATGTTTTTCAGGCTATGGATGGCAGGTCTTGAGTTCTCTCCCAACATGCAACCTTTATCCTGCACCTTCACAGCTTCTTAAAACACTGTGGTATGAAAGCAGTTCTAGAATGCAACCTCATTTCTGGTGCCAATACAGCATTAAACATACATCTGTATCTTTAAACCCAGACTGAAACCTTCATTTTTATAACCTTTTGTTTTTCAGTTAGTTTGCATTTTTGTGCCCATTTACCCTTAAGTGTTTCTAGTTTCTGATCCTGTTGTCTGAAAAGCATACCCCACAGTTCGGTCTGACTAGTGTCTATTACACATACCCAAGGCACTTAGAAACCTACTAGGAACAGAGAGAGGGGTAAAAGTGCAGGCTCAGTTGCTGCTGCTGAGCATTTGCTAGTCCAATGCATGGGCTCAAGATAGACCATTGTCATCTGTGTTTGTCACTATACAAACCTGCCAAGATTAAATCACTCCTATTTGGTGGCCATCCTAGGTGAGTGACTAGAGTAGATTTATAGGGACTGGAAGTACATTCAGGGCTCTCTGGATCTTTGGGATCTGCATTTGTGGATTCACGTAACCATAGATTGAATATATTAGAAGAAAAACTGCATCTGGATTCAACATGTACAGATTTTAAAAAATCATTATCCCCTAAACAATACAATATAACAATTGTTTATATAACATTTCCACTGTATTTGGGATTATAAGTAATTTAGGGATGACTTAAAGCATCTGATGGGGTGTGTGTAGGTTATACACAAATATGTCCTACATTTTATATAAAGGACTCCAGCCTCTGGGGACTTGGGTAATTGAGGATGTCCTGGAGCTGCCCCCTATGGACACAGAGAGCGCTTGTTTGTATGGAGCAGCAGTGAGTGTTAGATAATGGGGCCCCTGAGAGAACTGTGACAGACAGGAGCCAGGCACTCATCCCCAAAAGCATCTAGATAAAGCTTCCATAAGAACATTGAACCTACTAGTTTGTGCAGGAGAACACGGTGGGCAAGTACATCCATCAGTGATTTTCATTTCTATCATCTGATAGAGACATAAACACAAGTATATTTATTGCTGCTTTCAAGACTGCACTCTAAGTAGCACTTGAAACTCTTGATAAAATAATAAAGTGAATAACCTACAGGAATTTATCCAAGCACAGCCATTAGTCTGCTCCTGCAGGATATATACAAACTCTGTCTCCCTGCAGGAAAGGGAACACTTGTCTGTATTTTTAAAGATTTTACTACCAGATAGTTTGGGGTGATGAACAAAGACGCTGACTCCTGGATTACAAAGTGGTTCTGGATTCTATACTTACCATGTGCCTATATTCCAATATATGCAATCATTACTTAAAATAGGTATTATTAATAACAATATTACTATTTAGTAACTCTCAGCATATGGTGCCACAGAATATCAGGTTGTTCATCATCAAATGGTCAAATCTAACTTCCTACTGCATACTGGAATCTGCACTGTGACAACCTGCTCTTAAGAAGTGTCCCAGCTTTTGCTCAAATATCTCCAGGGACACGAAGCTCAGTTCCTCTTGAGGAGATCCATGTTATCATGATGCAGTTTTTTATCAGAAAATGCTTCCTTTGTGAAACCCACCTCCTTATGACATCTACTTATCTTTTTTTGGTACCAGGGATGGATCTCAGGACCTTGCGCTTGCAAGGCAAGATGCTGCCATTGAGCTAAATCCCCGGCCCTTACTTATCTTTTATTTTTGCAAAACTCATCATATTATTCCATTTTTCTGAAACAAATTAAATTTGGTTTAGTGATCTTACTTGCCAGTGTGTACCAGATGTCCAAAGTCTGTCATTCTTGGAAGGGTCACCCCTTGGAGGGTCACGCAAGGAAGTCATGCAAGTTGTCCAGAGTATTCTAGTAGAGTCTCTGATCTTCAGATGAGAGCTTCATGCAGTCATGGGAAGCAGTTTTACTGTGCACTTCTTAGCTTTCTTTTTACCCTATTCTCTCTTTCCCACTCAGGAATCTTTCCACATTCCTGAAAAAAGGACTCAAACCTTGAACACTCTCCAACAAGATATTATCCTGTGCTCCATGTGCATGTAGCTAGAGCCTGCCCCCACAGGAAGGAGAACATGGCACTTGGCCAACAGTTGCTCAAGGTGGTCCCCACTCCTGTGTAGGGTCGGAATTAGGATCACAGAGTGGGATGATGGCTCTTTGCAGACCCCCCTTAGATGGTGTATAGTTCTGAGCTGGCTTCTAAGGCCAACAACCTCTTTGTTTCTGACATCTGTGTGTCAAATCATTTTGTGTAGTTTAGAATAGAAAGAGCATGAACTTGTAGATCAGAGCTTGGTTTTACCTTTGCAACTTGGTGGTGTGCCTGCAGGGCTGATGTCCCTGAGCTGGAGCTTCCTAGTTACAAACAAGGCCCATGGCCACTCCATGAATCACTATGCAGGTCAAAAGTAAAACACATCACAGCATCTGGCACACAGTAGGACTCAATACAAGTCTGTATTTGTTCCCTTTCTTAGGCTCTTTCTAGCTAAAAGACAGTTCCTATCAATTGAAAATCTCATCCAAATGCCAGATTTGCCAGGTGGCTGCTTCCTGACACCAGATGGTTGCCAGCACCCCAGGAAACCCTGAATTTGCTCGGAGAAGATTGGATTTCACTTTTCATTTCTCATTTTCTTCAACTTTCTAGTCTCAGAGATTTAAAAAAATCATATAGCTGTAGATCCTTACAAAGCATGGCATTATAAAGAAAAACTGTAGAGTATGTGCTGTCGAGAAAAGATGGGATTGTGTGCCTGCTACGGGGAGGGGTTGGCTGAGGATGCATCTTTTGCAGAGTTAGTTTCTAAAATTTGGGTAGAAGGTGAAAATCACATTAAGTCACCTCACCCTTGAACATCACTTTGGATGGTGTGATGCTGTATGCTTCCCAGGAATGGAGCATATCATGTTTTCATTCACTGAGCCCTAGATGAAATCTAAAGGCTTATATTTATGGGCTATGCTCTGTGTGAAATGTGTATCCATCCAGGAGCTGAGACTGCCTGAGGAGGTGGAGGGTGCCCTGCTCCCTCATGTTTAGGGCTTGTACTCAGTGGATGGAAAGTTGGTCACTGCAGAACACTTGAGGTTATTCCTCCATCTCCTTAGGCAGACTCTCTCTCTCTGTCTCTCTCTCTGTGTCTGTCGGTCTGTCTGTCTGTCTCTCTCTCTCTCTCCCTCCCCCCATAGTATATGTAGTTGAATTCATAAAAGTACAATGGATGTAAATTCACCGAGTGTCATTTTGTAAAAGTAATAATGTAAGTTTTTATGGCCACTTAAGAATGCACAATAAAGCAAGAGTCCTTGAAATGCACCTAAAGTGACTGTACCCCTTCTCAGGAGGGCACTTTGGTCTGGAAAAGCAAAGGATGATTAGGAGACAAAAGGTCTAACTCGACTGGAGCTGCCAGGCCAGCTGTGACAAAAGCGTAGCTAGTGAGGACAGAAGCTGGCTGGGTGGAGGATGAGGCCCAGCCTGGCCAGGATAAGCATGGGCCATAGCAGGTAGGGTCTGAGTGCTGCCTTTGCAGGGTTCTCTCACACACCTCCAAGGTCCCAGAACTTGCTTCCTCCACCACACACATCTCTCCAACAACGACTCAGTAAATGTTTCTAGCTTGGGCTTATCACTGGTGCCTCAGATCTGCAGTGTCCTGGTCTTCCCTACCTTGATGTCTTGGAGCCACTGCCAATTGACCTGCCAAATGCTGATACAGCTCGAAGAAGCAGAGGTCCAGTGCCTCCAGGGACCAACAAGGACATCAGGGTGGGGCCTGATGCTAGAGAGGCAGAAAAGGCTGAGTCTTACAGGAAGAGACACAAAACCTAACTTCATTGTGAGTTTAATCATGAAGAAACAGACAATTACAATACCTTAATATTTCAAGTCTGAAATGCTATCTGCTAATTTGACTTTTCTTTCTGGGGGTGGAGAAGACTTGGTGGTCTAGATATTTGACAGAGAGCTGTCCAGGGAACTTGGGCATGCCAGTGTTTTCTCTAAATGTCCCTTAGTGAGCTGAGCCTTCATAATCATTTCACTGACTTCAGAGATGAACTGAGGTTCCTCTCACAGAAGTAGCTGCAGAACAGCAGGATCTGGTGGGGCCCTGCTGGCTTGTCGGGGAAGGGGCCGGGCAGGGAGCCCAGGTGGGGAACTTGGGTGGAGCAGAGGCTTTAAGTGCCTTGGCCCCTTCAGTACCTGGCACATCTACCTGCCCAACGGCTGGCCTTGCTCCAAAGAACACTACTGTCCTTAAAATCCCTGACTTGCCACATCTTGCCTTTAAATGGGCTCTGCCTTGGGGTGCACACAGCACCTCTAGTGTCCCTCTTTTCCTGGTTGAACTTTTCCCATTCCCATGGTCAAGTTCAAGGTCCGATCTCCAAGAGCAGCCTCATAGCCTGTGTGGAAGGGTGGAAGGAAAGATTGTCATTCTTCCAGACTTGTGCTGGAAGGAGAGATAGTTTCACCCTCAGAGCCATCAAGTCCCCCTAGATGGGCTGCCTGCTTGCTTCTTGTCTCCAAGTCTGGTGGTTTCTGGGTCTCTGTCCAAACAGCACCAGCAGCTTCAGCTTCACAAGAAAGCCAGAGAGCTCATTAGGAGGGGTGAAGGGAGTAAGGAGGTAGGGGGGTGTCAACCAGGTGGCACAGTGACCAGCAGCACTGTACACCCTCAGGGTGGGGCACAGGGGGCTGGGTAGCAGGTCTGGTTTCCCGTTTTTTTGACAAAATTTCCTGGATATTTATTTTCTATGTTTATAAGATAGCATAGTTTCTTTGTTGGTAAGTTTTTAATTACATTTTCAATTTCACTGATTGTGATTGGGGTGTTTAAAATGTTTTTATCTTCCCAACAAAGAAAAGCCCAGGCCCTGATGGATTCACTGCTGAATTTTACAAGACATTTAGAGAAGAACTACTACCATTACTCTTCAAACTTTTCAATGAAATTGAAAGAGAAGCTATACTTCCAAATTCATTCCTGGAAGCAAGTATCACTCTGATTCCCAAACCAGAGAAAGATACAACCAAAAAGGAGAACTACAGACCAATCTCCTTAATGAATAT